CTATATGTTACTTAGTAATTCTACCATAATACGGTTTTTGAAAAATGTCCGAATTCAATTCCACCACATGTATAATTTTTATATTCATTATTCCCTGCATCTCCATAATATTTTTTATTTGGTTTATTCCCTGTAGGTAATTTATAAAGATTTACTAATGTTTTTATTTCTTTTATATATTTATTTACTTCTTCAGGTCTTCCTGAGAACCTGATATCCTATCATAATTATCTATTAGTTTTTGTGCTGATCTTTCATTCCATTCTCTTATCTTTTCTCTTTGTTTTTTTTTATTTAATGTTTTTACAATATTAAACAGTTCTGCTTCTGACATTTTTTTCTTTTTATTTTCTGTTGATCTTTTTGGTATCAGTGATGAGTTTTTAAATATATTTATAATTGTTTCTGGAATATCTTCAAGTGTTATGTATTTTGATTCTTCTTCTTCTTGCTGTGGTCTTTTTTCTTTTAAAAGTTCAGATATTTCAAAATCAAGCTCAAATTCTTTGCTTTTATTTTCATTTTTTTCTTTTTCAAATATATTTTCTATCCAGTCTATTTTTCCATATTTTTTTCCTGATTTTTCATATATATTATTCCAGTCTTTCTCAAAATTTTCTCCCCTATAAATTCATTCTAATTCTTCTTCTTATGGATCTCCTTCTGGTACATTTATTCGTTCATTTTCATAATATTCATATTTTGGTACCAATGCTTTTTCTTGCCAATAGTTCAATTCTTTCATTTCTAAGTTAGCCTTTCTTTGTAAATTTTCTATAGTATCTTTCCCTATGTTTTTATCAAATTCTTTTGATAATGTTTCATCTTCTACTTTTGCTTCTTTCCTTCAAAATTCTATTGATTCTCGAAGTTTCTTAAGGTGTTTTTGTAATCCTGCTATTAACTCTTTATTTATATCCATATTTTCTTTCTTCTTGTTCCTATTTATTTCTTAAATATTTTCTCTAAGTTGTTGATCAGTTTCTAATTCTTTTACTAATTTTTTATCTATTTTTCTGATTGCTCCTTGATATCTTTCTAATTTTAACCTTAATGCTTCACTTATTTCAGTCTCCTCTTTATATAAATTTTCATATTGTTTGTATCTTTCTTCTGTTTCTTCTATATTTTTCTTCAATTCATTATTTTCTTTGAGTATGTCTCCAATTCCTTTGACTAATTGCTCAGCCATTTTTTCAATCCTTCCATTATGTTTCAGGTATTCATATATTCTTTCACATTGTTCTTTTATAAATTTATAATAATTTTCCATACTTGTTTCATTTTGTTCTAATGTTTCTCTTATTTTCTTCTCTCTTTTAATCATTTCCTTCACCATATTTTTTGGATTTCTTCTATATCTAGTTCCAAGTATGCATATATTCTTTCATATATCTTTTTTATGAATTTGTTATAAGATTCCATATTCTTTTTATATGTCTCTTTCTGTTCTTTATTATTTCTTAATTTTTCTTTGATTTTATTATTTTCTTCAATTATTCTATTAATTCCTTCAGCTATTTTGTTAAGTATTCTATCTGGATTTTCTTTTATTTCTAATTCCAAATGTTCATATATTCTTTTATATGAATTTTTTGCAAAAACCTTAACTTCTTCTATAGATTCTTTATATTTTATATTTTTTTCTTTTAAGTCTTTAACATATATTTTTCTTGAATTTATTTCTTGTTCATATTTTTCTTTTTGTTCTTGAATTTCTTTTTCATGTTTGTTTTTTGTTTTTTGAATTCCATTTTTTATAAATGCCATTTCTTAATTATATGTTTTATCTTTTAATTATATTTTATTTTCTAATCTCTTTATCTCTTCTTTTAAATTAGCTACTTCTTTTCCTGTTGTTTTTGGCATACTTAATCCTTCTTGATTATCTTTTTTCTTTACTGTGAGTTTAGCTTGTACCTTTTTATCCTTTTTATTATCATTTGACATTTTGATTTTTTCTTTTCTTGGTCAGGTAATTTCAGATATTTATAGTTTTCATTGATCTTATTAATTATTTTTGCCTTATATCTATTCAAAGATAGTGTTAGTTTTTTCTCATACATTTCTTGCAATATATATTGTTTCTATTTAATATTATTCAATGGTTTTCATCTTTGAGGTTCTTGATCTTCTGTTAATTTAATTATGTATATATTATTTTTGATTGTTTACTTGTCCATATGTAGCAATATATTATAATTGTTCTTCCTTGAGTGTTATTCCTGTCTCTTCAAATACTTCCCTTCTGTATGCTTCTTCAGATATTTCATAAGGTTCTATCATTCCTTCAGATACTTGGTAATATCTATAGTATTCTTTCCCTTTGTCCAATCTTTTTGATAAATATACTTTTTCTTCTTTATATAATATTCCTATTGCAAAGTTTTAATTTATTTGTCTTGATAATTTTTTTATTTTTAAATATATTTGTTTTATTTCTTTTTGATAGTCTTTAAATCTTTGTTTGATAAATTTTCTTTTTTTATGTAGTTCCATATGTTTTTTCTACTAGTTTTTTATAATTTTGTTATACACCTTTCAAATAATTTTCAGGTATATATATATCATCATTTTATTCAAGTATTCTCTGTCTTTCAACTTCTCCTTCTGATTTTAAGAATAATACAATATTATTTTCTAGTTTGATGTTTTCAGTTTTTTTTAAGATCTTTCTCTTCTTTTCTTTTGAAATTAATTTTAATTTTTGTTGGATTGTTATAAATATCCTTGTAGATAATATACTTCTATCCATTATTATATATTTTACTGTTTTGTCCATAGTTAGTATTTGTTTTTCTCTTTAATTAATAATCTTTTCTTGTATTGTTTTACAATATTCATTAAAGTCTTTATAATATTTTTTTAGTGTTCCTTTATCAATTCCTTTTCTGAGATATTGATATTTTTCTTCTTGTATTTCAATATATTCCATTAATATTTTTGCCATAGTGGTTTTTCTTGCTCCTATACTTCCTTCAAGGATTGATATTACTTGTCTACTTATTTAAAAACAGCACATGATTGGTTGATGCCAAATATCATATTAATTCTATTTAATCACTTTCATATAGAATTGAATTAATATCTTGTGATTTGACTTGTGAAGCATTAACCACTGTGCTATGGACCTACAGGTCATTTTTACTTTATTAAATTTTATTTATTTAATAATAAATATATTAATTTTTATTAATATAATTAATATAAAATTTTTTTTATAAATGAATATACAACAATATACCGCTAATCTCCTTGCCAATCCAAAAAACAGACGTTCTCAAAAATATTTATTTATTTTTGATAATAAAGTCTATACATTTTCCTTAAAAACATTACTCCCTGAAGGCAGGTGCCTCTCCCACTTGTTTACTCTTCCTTCTTCGAAAAACTTTGGATATTTCAGCGACAAAATAAACAAAACTTTATCAATCTGGTCTATGGCAAGAACACCTTACTGGAAAGAAGAAACCTGTAGAAAAATACCTTCCACTATTTTCTCCAAAGGTCTGGAAATCTAGAAAGTGAACCACTAGTGAATGCATTTCCTAAGCTTTATAAGAACCTTAAATCCACTGTAAGCGAACACCTTCTGCTTGAGGCAGGTGAATAAACTAGTTGGTATCTATCAAGTGAATGCAATTCCCAAGCTCCATAAGAACCTTGGATCCACCATAAGATTCAAAATTCCTGTAGTCCAGGTGGATGGATAAGCTGGTAGGAATCTATAGTTCTAATATATGATCCTCTCTTATCAATCATATATCCTGTATAGTACTTTCAAGCATGTCAGAATTTTCTTGATTTTTTCTGAGGAATTTTGCCTACCTCAGTTTGATCCTGAATTTTTTGTTACACCGGATTCTCTGATTGGTGATTGGATAAAATCTTGAATTGATTGATCGACATGTAAAAGAAATGTAAACAAGACACGTACCCACATGTGCCCACGTCATACCACATTATAACTGATGATATAATTGGATAAAGTGAAAGAGCAAGATGCCGAGGTGTCCTCTTGATAAGAAGTATTTAGAAGTCTTCCCCCTCCCCTCTTGTGCTGGTTTCTTTTCTTCTCAAGATCAAAGAAGGCTCTCATTAGGCTGGTAATTGGTGTTGATGGATTTTTATTTTACCAGTGCAAACTTTTCTCCTTTCCCTTTTATCTTTTCCTCTTTTTTTTTCTTAAAAAAATAAAATTTTTTTTTGCTTTAGGACCACAGAGGTTAAGCCAGAGTGACAGTCCTGATAAAGGGCTGGCTTTGAGATTTTAAAATAACAAGGAATGTTTTTTTTTAATTGAGCAACTTGTTCATCTCCCTTAATCACATCTAGAGACCATTGATCATTGACAGGTGTTTCATAATCGATAGAAAAGTTTAACCTGTAGTATAGATATAAATAATATTATATGTAGTGTACTAAGGTAACACAGTCACGAAGCTGAATTAATAAACTTGAAGATATGAACTGATTAGGTGAAAAAAAAATGAATATACAACAATACAAATTTTTGTTGTTACTTGAATATATCTATAAATTATATCAAGTGTCTTTTTACAATTGAAACAATTGTATTATTGTATTGATTATATCTGAAAACAGCATTATAACTATAAACTAATACTGTCTAATACTTATTATAGTAATAGCTTTACTACTTACCTTGTAGTAACTGTATATTAATTGTGAGTTCATATATTGGATAGAATTTTTATATAGAAGAGAAGTTCTATCACTAGTTTAAACTATTTAATTTATATTAATCCATTTATTAAAAGCTACAGTATATCTATTTTGTAAAGATTAATGAGATTTTTAAATACTCTGATATTTTTCATTTAGAATTTCAGAGGAAATACTTATTTATTCTTATCATCTGTAGTTTCGATAGATTTTTTTCCAAAGACTGACTTTTAAGTATATATCAAATTGAAATAGCTTCAAACTAAAAAATTCTAAAAGTCAAAATCAGACTTATTGAGTATGTTATATATAGGATAACTAAACAACCTATATATGAAAAGACTTTATAATGATCATTATAGTATCAATCAGATAATCATTTTTTTTTTTTTTTAAACAGATGGCATACGCCTTGTTTATTAAATTTATTTCGAGAAACTACAAATTCGTTTTATACAAATTTTTTAACTCTATCTATTTAATAAACTCACTAAGGACTAATCCTACCATGCGGCTTATTGCCCGTATATTAGTATATACTCAGCTAATTTGTCAGGCTCTACCAATTCCTATTAAAATTAATTTCAAAAATGTATAGTGTGTTCCAAGTGATCCAGTTTTTGCTGGTGTATTCCATTATTGTATTGACTCCATGGTCATTTAATCTGTTTGTTTATGTGTTTTTTATATATATTTTCCATTTGTTTTTGTCTTGTTTTTGTATGTTTTTAGTTTTTTCACATTTTCTGAATTCTATACAGTGGGTTTTCCATCTTTGTTGTAGTTCTTCTAGAAATCTTTCAAAGATTTTCTTGATTGTTTGTTTTCTTGTCTCTGTTTCTGTATACTTTTTTATTATTCGATTGTTTCTGTTGTTATTGCTTCTCACATATATTATTTGTGATTTCTTATGTCCATGTGTTGATATGGTCGTTAAGTTCTATGTTTAGTTTGTTTTTTATTTTTACCTTTATTCTGCTGCTCACTTCTTCATTTATGACTTGTTTTAGATACTTGATTGGATCTGTCTTGTTTTCTGTACATTGCATCACATGTGCGTTGGTTTCAATTTCTGTGTTGCACCTGGTGCATATATTATTTTGTATGTTTCTGCTGTTCTCTTGTGGAGCATGTCTTTGATTGATAGCTCTTGATTCCAAAGTTTCCATCTAAATGCTCTTTTGTTGTGATCTTCGCTGTTGGTTGTATCTGTGGTTATTTTGGATGGGTGTTTATTTTTTAACGATTCTTCCCATGCCATATTTGCTCTGGTGTGTTGATTTATTGTTGTTAAATTACAGTTTAATGTTCTCCAGTTTACTATATACTTTATTCTTATTAAGTCTTTAACTGTTTGTATAATTGTGCTGCTGAGTATCTGTCCGTTCCATTGTTGTGTCCAGTTGAGAAATTGGTTTTATATATTTTTTATATCGATTTCCTCAGCTATGGTTAAATTACATATTTCTTTTGCCAGCTGGTCTGCCAAGTCATTGTTGTATTCTT